CCAGTCCAATAAAACATGCATATTCCTTTGGCTAGCCTAAAACGAAATAAATAATAGTCTATACATATACATCCTTTTATAATGAAAATATAATTTCAGGTAATTTCAAAATGGCCATAAAGGAGGAATAATAGTTAACTAATTTAAAATAAAATGCTGCATTTTTCAATGCAGATGCCAAGGCTTGACTACGGTACAAAAACTGATAAAGTAGTAAAATGCTTACATGTATTTATAATGCATGGGCTTCCCAGGTGGCACCAGTGGTAAAGAACCCACCTGCCAATGCTTGAGACATAAGAGACATAGGCTCCATCCCTGAGTCAGGAAGATCCCCTGGAGGAGGGCATGGCAACCCACTCCAGGATTCTTGCCTGGAGAATCCCATGGAGAGAGGAGCCTGGTGGGCTACAGTCCATGGGGTCAAAAAGAGTGGGACATGACTGAGCAACTAACACTTTCACTTTGGTGCATGTGTGTGCTCAGTTGTGTAAAGTAATTATCCTCAATTAAAAATTTAGAAAAAGGAAAACTCTGCCACAGAACATACACACACACACACACACACACACAGAAATTGGAACTCAAAATCTTTGATGGTTAATGCATCTTTAATGATGGATGGTATCCATTTTGGTGAGATGAATTTCTAACTTTAAATATGAAATTATCTGCCCTTTAAAAAAGAAAAAGAGATGAAGTCCTTCATTCTTTGGGACTGTCCCACATATTGTAGGACATCCAGCCCAGCCCTTCTCAGTAAGTGGCTTCAGCCACCATGAGCCGTCCAACACCCCACAAGACCCACAGTGCCGGGAGGAGGAGCGGCCAGCAGATGTGATGCCTAAAACGGGTGCAGCACTCATGAAACTGTCTGCTGTGAAGGCACTTAAGAGCAAACTTTGATTTGTAGAAGCCACACCCAGCAGTGCACCTAACAGGCTGGTCTGCAGATGAATCCCTGGGTCCTTCATGTGCCACGTACCCCCAAAAGTTCCTTTTTTATTCCAGCTGAGTGGCAGCTCTCAGGTCTAGACCACTTACAGCTGGGGGTTTAAGGAGTTTTCTTCCCTCTCATCTTTCTTTGAGTCATTCTCTTTGCCTTTCTGGTCAAGCTGCTATGGACACAAGGACTCTCCCAGGATCCACTGTCACATTTGTCTTTCTGGAAAAGAAAAGATAAAAACAAAAAGAAAAATGGCCTCACTTGAAGACTTCGTCCTGAAGCATCAGCGTCTTCCTTCCTTGCTTCTCCGAGAACAGTTGGATGCGCCCCCCACCCAGTGGAGATCAGTGCCCGGGTGTGTGGCCCCAGGTCCTGCTAGTGTTTCCTGTGCATACAGTCACGTGCAGGTGTTCACTGCCGTCTCCATATCTGCATTCCTCCAGCTTCCCGAGGAGAAGACTGCATCATCTGGAAAAGTGATGAAGGTGTAACAAGGGCGTTCCTGCAGGATGGAGCGGAAAGGAGGAAGGAAAGAAGGAAGGAAAAGCGTGTCCAAGCAGAGCAGGCGGAAGAAGGAGAGCGCAGAAGCCTGAGGCAGTGAGAGGCAGAGAGGGAGAAAGGCTGAGCTCTCTTCTCTACCGGGTGTCCATGCACTTACGCTCCCCCTTCCTTTCTACCACCAGATTTTTCTCCGTAGAGTCTTCCCGAAACTCCCAGTGTTGGCTGCAAGATTCAGAATACGTAGAAGCTTGGATTTGCCAACAGCGCTTCAAGCCTGGATAATGACATACAGATTGTTTTTTCCATCTTGGGGATTTGGAGCAGCCTGGGGAATTGCAAAAGCCTGCCTTGTTGTAAGACCGTTTCTGAAGGCCCGCACTGTCTGATCACTGGCTCCGTGCTGCTGGGAACAGTGGCACAGCTGTCCAGGGTGGCAGGGACCACCTGGGGTATGGAAATTACCAGAAGCCCTGTTTGGCTCTTGCCAGAGCACCTGAAGCCCTCTGAGAATTAGGATTTCTGGATTTCTGTTGTTTCTCTCCACCGGCCCCTTAGGAGCAATAGATAACAAACTGGGACCACTTGTTTTGTTTTTTTTATTGCCAGAAAAGCCCCCAAAGAAGATGGCTGCTGTTGTTGATTATTGGCATTCCAGCAGGACCATATATTTATTTCTAAGTATATTCGCACAGCTAGGAAGCATCTGTTGACAAGGATGAGATGATAAGCTGCGTTGGTGCCAAAACAGGTCTAGAAAAACAAGCTTGCTCTGAGAATGGCAGGTATCCGGAAAGTCAGTAAAGAAAATCAACCCTCCACAGGAAGTCGCTGCTATTAAGACATTAACACTTAAGAGAGAGCTTGGAATCCCTGTCTCCTAATGCAGCGCACGCACACAGTAGGTTCTCAGGGAGAGCAGCCTGGAGGGAGGACCAGTCCAGGAGGGGGAACCCACAGTGGGAGGTGGGCTGCACTTCCAGCAGCCTGTGTGCCAGGGCTCTGGCCTCCCCTGGAGAGGGAAGGGTAGCGTGCGGGGTCTCAGCGCGTCCGCAGCTCTGTACCAGCCACGCTCACCCCGGGCGCACATGCAGGACGAGCAGGTGCAGAAGCGTGGACACTCCTCCGTCCTGTGGTTTCCTTGAACAAGAATGGGATGATTGGTGAGCGAGGCCAGCATCCTGGGTGGTAACAAAAAAAAAAAAGGGAAATTGGTAGAAAGTGCATCATCCAAGTTGGATTCAGCCAGCTCTGTGGCCTGGGCAGCTTCCCAGGGTATTCCAGCCAGACGGCAGGGCTTCTGAGAGACACCAGGCTAGAATGTGTGTGATGACATAAGGGCCGGGAGAGGCAGGGCCGTGGGGCTCATCAGGGGCTGTCCCGGGCCCCCCGACCCACTGGTGCACACCTCCCCGGCCACCTGTTACCTCCGGGTCCACCCCAAGGCCCCTGGACCTGTGCCCTTTTTTCTAATGGGCACAACCTTTTTCTATCAGAAGCCCACAGGGAACACAAGTAATCCAGCAATTTCTTTCTCGTCCCACTGCCTGTCCACTGCTTACTTATCCTGAGCACTGTTTCCTTTGGACAAGAACGCCTCCGGGTACCAAAAGCTACATTATTCTGTTCTACAGCCGGTAAGCCAGGAGCCTGGCTGTTCTGGTTTTGTTGTTGCTGTATTTGTTTTGAATATTAGCCGCTTCCCATTCTGGGCAGTTCCAACCGTGTTTACTATGAGTTCCTCTGTGTGGGCGTTTCCCCCATTTTTATCCTACAGGCTTCGACGTGAGCAGTAACTCATCACTGCGCCACCGGCCCAGAGTCGGGGATTCATAAACTGGCGGGGCCTTTAACTTGAAAATACCCAGTGAGGATGGGGGGAGGGGAAAAGAAGAAATATATTTATGGGAGGGCCAGTGGGCTAAAAAGACCAAAAATAATGTTGCTAAACAGACGTATATCTGGAGGTAAATACCACGACATCTGCTCCCTTCGAGGAGATGTGCTTCGAGGAGGATAAGTTGGCTTCTGCAGTGCTCACTTGATAGAACTGCTCCATCCTGCCTTCCTTTTGCTTTCAATACTTCTCACTTCTTATCACTCAACCTTCATTGTCTCCTGAACTCCCAACTTAAAGAGTCTGGATTCTTCCAGTTGCACGTCACAGAAACCCAACTCACACTACCTTAAGCAAACAGGGGATTTATGGATCTGTGTGTTAAAAAGGATACGATGGAAGCGTTAAGGTCAGATGAAAGAAGTAGGGACGAGGATCTTATGAGGGGAACCAGGATTTCTCCCCTCCCTCCCCGCCCCCTCCCCCACCCAGGAACTATCACCTCTACTGGTTGTTACTTGGCTCCACTTAGCAGGGGGCGCTCCTCCTACTGGGAAGGTGGCACCTAAAAGCCCCCATATCCTCATCCTCCAAGCACCTCCACCCTAGAGGAAGGAATTTCCATCCTCAGCTTCCATATTTGTTGTTGTTGTGCTCAGTCGTGTCCAACTCTTGGCAACCGCGTGGACTGTAGCCCACCAGGTTCCTCAGTCCTTGGAATTCTCCAGGCAAGAACACTGAAGTGGGTTGCCATGCTGTTTTCCAGGGGATCTTCTCGACTTAGGGATCAAACCTGCATCTCCTACATTGCAGGCAGATTCTTTACCATCTTAACCACCAGGGAAGTCCAAGGAAGCCGTATACAAGCCCAGAAAAAGCTCTGATTTTCTAGTGTGAGGCTAATACTATCCAAAAGAATAGAGTGAACCGATTGTCTAATTATAGTCTGAAGTCTACCTGTAGCTGCAAGAGCAGGGTTTATTACCAGAAAGGCAAGAGGGCATAAATCCACACTTGGCCATCGCCAGCACTTCCCAGGGTCCTCTTGCCTCTCCTATCATAAACCTTTCAGCTGAGCTTGAAAAGTACGAAGGCCCCAAACCTGACCTGAAATGTAGCAGCAAATTAAGCCCTACCTGCAAATGTTAGCTGTCAATCACTTAGCAAATCCCTTTTACTTGTTCACCGAGGGTGTCCCATGTCTTCTGAGAGTTTCCATTATAAGACAGGATGTGGAGTCAGCACATTGGGGTCATTCTCAACCCTGCTCTGTCCCGTCGTGTTCATTCCACAAGTTAATACAGTTTTTTTTTTTTTCACTTTTGTTTCTTCGTGTGAAATGGAGCGATAATGCTGCCTGCCTGGAGCTGTCATCAGTGTTAACAGGATAGTTAGCATTGGCAAAAGGCCTGTCAGAGGAGAGATGGCTGGTATAACTGCCATGGCCCCAAGGCAAGCAGTGCCTTTCTAGGAAATCTTGATGACAAACCCTGGAAACTGGCTCACACGCAGGAGGAGACGTGAGTTTCCTAGACACGTGCTTTCCGACATGTATATTCATGAGGAGTTTTGCATAGCTGCCTGGACCAAATAGATCCTGAGCTTCTCAGTGGTTGGGCGGGGAGGGTGGGGACCGCAGAGGGGCACTGGCTCGGTGTCTCCCCCCATGCATCCTGGACCTTATCCTCCTTGAGTTTCTCTCTCTCTCTGCACATTCAGGGGTGTACACATTTCTGTCCAGCACTCTGAGGTCTCTGGAAGAGAAGGACCACATCCACCGCGTCCTGGACAAGATCACAGACACCTTGATCCATCTGATGGCCAAAGCGGGCCTGACTCTGCAGCAGCAGCACCGGCGCCTGGCCCAACTCCTCCTTCTCCTCTCGCATTTCAGGCACATGAGGTGAGGCCTCCCTGGGTTTCTCTCGCAGCAAAGACATAAAGGAGTCCAGCCCCCAAGGCTGTGTGGCAGCGGGCCCGGGAAGGGCTGATACCTGCGTACAGATGACACACCTGGGGCAGTTCTGGGCCCACGATGAGCGTGAACACCGTGGGGGGATGTTGGAGGGAGGCCCTGGATCTGTCTGGGGTGTGGGCGGGCATCAGAGAAGGCTTCACAGAGGAAGCGATAACTCAGAATCAGTTTGGAGCCTATGCAGCATCTTACGTGGGGGGGAGAGTGTGCGTCGTGCAGGTCAGGGGAGGTGGGCATCCTCTTTGGTTATTCACTTTGTCCTAACCAGTCACGGGTAGTCCGTGAGCACACTCGTCCTCAGAAGGCGCTGGGCAGATCTGTTACAGCTCCCGTGTCTCATTCTTCTTACTTCCGGGTGTAAATTCTAAATGAGACACTCTGGGTCCAAACCCCCCATGGATGATCAACCGCAACTCTTCTAGCCCTCTCAATCCATTCTTGTCGCCCCCTTTGCCATGATCCAAGTCTGAGCCCCCATCATTTCCTCCTAGATGTCTGCCCCAGCTGCCTAACCTATCTCTCCAGATTTAATTTCAGATCCATTAACAGCCTTTCTGATCCACTCTCCACAATAGAGCCAGCGTGATCATTCTGATATCAAATCTGATCGCACTGTTTTCCCACTTAAAGCGTTGAAATGGCTTCACGTTGCTTTTAGATGAAAATATAAATCCATTTACTTGGCTTCTGTTCCCTCTCCTCTGCTGCGGCTGCTACTCCTGGGTCGTTAAGTTGTCTCTGACTCTTTGCAACCCCATGGACTGTAGCCCACCAGCCTCCTCTGTCCATGGGATTTCCCAGGCAAGAATATTGGAGTGAGTTGCCATTTCCTTCCCCGGGGGATCTTCCTGGCCCAGGGATGAAACCTAAGACTCCTTCTTGGCAGGCAGAGTCTTTACCATCGAGCCACCTAGGAAGCCCTCTTATGCTCTAGCCTTACTTAACTTGTAGGACTTCCTGGCAGTCTAGCCTCTGGCGCTGATCAGCTGTTCTGAGTCAAAGGGGAAGTGCTGCAGGCTGGCTGCACCTTCCTCTGGACTTACGCATCTGAAGGTCAGGTGATGGAAGCTGGGCACAGCTGGAGGCTCTGAAGGTCAGCTGGGTGACTAACCTGAGTGCCTTTTGTCCTCCTTGTACCAACAGGAGAGCTGGGACATGTTCTTCTCATATCGATGGCAGAGGCACCAGAGGGAGAGTCAGTTTGGCCAAGTGCATTTTAATCTTTTAGTTCAGTCCGAGTCCACGAACATCCCACTGGGCGAGCAAGTCATAGAACAACACCCCAAGTCAAGGGTCATGAACACAGGGCACAGAGAGTGAATCTTCTTGGACAGTAAGCTAGGCTGTCATAGCTTAGATATGACTCCTTGCAGGAAGCATCTCCTGACCCTTAACACATAGATGGGATTGATACCCTGTTCTTCCAGATTGTTATTGCCCATTTTATTATCTTTCAGCACCATTAGACTACAAATGTAAACTCTGTGAGGCAGTTCTCACAAGCCGTTTTGCTTACTCTGAGGACCCAGTACCCCGAAGCATGGGGCTTGGCGCGGAGTAACTATTCAATAAGTATTTTCTACAGGAGATAAGGAAGGTTGATAGCAGAGAAAGTAGAGCCTTTCTGCGCCAGAAGGTGAAAGTGGCTTTGTTTCTATTCTAAAAGCCTGGCCAGGGACTTAGTGGGTACTGTTCCCATGAGCAGAACTTATCCTTCAGGGAACAGATGAAGAAAGCATTAGATTCTTTACTCCAGAAAGATCACAACAATAAAGTGATGATACACCTGCATGATGAAGTCCCTATGACCTTGGGCTTACATCCGGTCTCCAGGAATGAAATAGAGATTCTGTTTCTCAGTGGCTCTGAGGGAAGGGCCAAGGTGTTGGGAAAGAGATTAATTTTTTTAGGGGGTCTTCAAACCTTGAAAAACTGTGAGTCTGGTGGCAAGAAGTTCATCCCATCAGAGCCCCAGGTGCCTCCTCTTCTGGAGATAACTCCACAAATTGTTCACTTCTTGAGAAAATAAATGTATCTTTCTTTCATTGTCATCATCTCAGTGCCATGTATGAAGTCTTACATGAGGTATATGAGCATAACTTTATTACTGAGTGAAGGAGTTGTCACTCATGACAGAACAGACACATTACCTGAGGTCTTCCCCGTGAATTTGAAATTCACAAATGATGGCTCTCACTTGTCAAAGTGACTGCAGTCTGTGTTCCCAGAAGTTCCCGAGAATCCGGCCAGGTTAAGTAGGTTACTGCATTTGGAGTATACATTTTCAGTCCTTTCCTGTCCATTTCTTTTGATGAATATTACACAGAGGGAAGAGGGGGATGGGTCAGAATAACATAAGACTCTACCAAATTTCCTGGCTGAGAGAATAGCCTTCCTCTTAAAGAAAATATATTAGCTTTACTCTGAGCTAGGAATTTGATGGAGAAACCGTGTATCACAGATGAAGGATTTTTTGTTGGTGGTGGTGGTGGTTGGAATTGCTGAATTTTCAGATCCATTAGCTGCTTGTCAGCATTAGGAAGCCTCATTAGTTAATACCAAAGTATATTTGCGCTGAACATACAAGCTTTGCTAGTTTTACTGGCAACAAGTGGCCAAGGGGATGGCAGTGGGAGTTTCTGTTTGAATCTGTGAAGGGCTGAAGAGAAGTGGCTATTCTGTTGCAAGTTTGAGCTGGCTTGCAGACTCTCTCTCTCTCTCTCTCTCTCTCACACACACACACACACACACACCCCAACACTGACAACAATATTGTGGTACCTCATTACAGCCAATCTAAATTACAGAACTCTGTTGTGTTAAGCTTGGCCCTGATCATATGCTGTCATTCAGAGCATTTAACACCAGATTTCATCTCACGGTAAATGTGATTCATCAGGTTGCAAGAGGAGGACGGTGTCAAATCCAGGGGCATTTAACTTTAACAGCATTTTAAATTAAAACAAACAAACCAAAAAAAAAAAAAAAACAACGCACGAAATCCCACTTACAAATGTAATTTTGGTGGCTGTTATACGGCCCAAATTGCTCTGAAGCCCGATTGTTTTCATGGCACATCTCCAACAAGGGTTGACTTTTCCTTGACTGAAAATGCAAGTAATTTTTAGGAGGCTCTTGGTCTGCCTACTCATGATACATGATTCTTTTAAAAGAAATTTCAAGCTGGATAATAGTGTTTGGGTTTTTTTTTTTTCCCTTTTTGTCTCCTGCTGGTGGTGTGGTGGAGGAGACAGGCAGAAGTGTGGCTGGTGGAGAAGGACAGTAGGGGACAGTGGTCAAAAGGAGAAATGCTATTTGCCGGCATCTCCCTGTCTATCCCATATTTTCTGATTTACCATGTTCTTGCCACGGTGCTAGGCCTAACAGGGTGGACAAATTGCTACCCCTCGTGGAATTTGCACCGTGTGTGTTGGGTCTGTGTGTGTATGTGCTTGCGTGTATGTGCTTGCGCTTAGGGAGCAAGAATGAAAATACAGGGACTTCCCTGGTGGTCCAGTGGTTAAGAATCTGCCTTGCAGTGCAGGGGACAAGGGTTCGAATCCTGGTCGAGGAACTAAGATCCCACATGCCGCCGAGCTCCTGAGCCTGTGTGCCGCAATTAGAGAGTCTGCACACCACAACCAAAGATCCTGCATGCCACAACTAAGACCCAAGGCAGACAAGTAAAGGCTTTTTATAAAGAATGAAAATACATATATACATAGATACATACATAGAAGGATTTCAGGTTGACATGCATGCTGGGAGGAAAATGGATGTTGAAAGACGGGTTACACCCAGAGATTTGGGAGAAGTGCCTCCAGGTGGGGGCGGGGAAGAGCCTAGGCATAAAGAATTTGGTATCTTTATGGGGCAGTATGAAAACTCGGCTGGCTCAAGGTATGGGTTAGGGAGGAAGGAGAAAGTCTGAGATATAGGTGGAAGGCATGTCAGTCGGGCCTTGCACAGCACAGACAGAAATTTAGATTTTATTGTGAGTTAAATGTGAAGCAGCTGGACAGTCGTGAGCAAGGGAACTTCTTGAGCTGTTTTGCGTATTTGAAAAGTTCCTTCCTGGACCTCCTTGGTGGTCTTAGTGTTTAAGACTCCATGGTTCCAATGCAGGGGGCCTGGGTTTAATCTCTGGTCGGGGTACTAAGATCCCACAAGCCAAGCGATGTGCCCCCACCCCGCCCCCATAAAAAAACCTCTTTCCTACGTGGTGGCTGGCAACCCACTCCAGTATTCTTGCCTGAGAAATCCTATGGACAGAGGAGCCTGGCAAGCTACAGTCCATGGGGTCGCAAAGAGTCAGACACGACTTAGCGACTAAACGACAAGCGACTAAACACAATTGTTCTCTTTTTAGATGTAGCGGTGGTAGAGGAGGAGAGAAAGTCTCCTGTATAGTAAACCCTAAACTGGCTCTTGAAGCAGAAAGAAAGGTTGGCATATCAGTGTCCTGGGGCTTTTCTTAGTTGCCCTTCCTCAGCGTTTCAGCCGTCTTGGGTCTGAGACTGGTCTGAGCAGTCCCATCTGTCTCCCCTCCTGCAGCAACAAAGGCATGGAGCATCTATACAACATGAAGTGCAAGAACGTGGTGCCTCTCTACGACCTGCTGCTGGAGATGCTGGATGCCCACCGCCTGCACGCCCCAGCCAACTTAGGGAGCGCACCCCCAGAGGACGTGAATCAGAGCCAGCTGGCCACCACTGGCTGCACTTCATCGCATTCCTTGCAAACATATTACATCACCGGGGAGGCAGAGAATTTCCCCAGCACAGTCTGAGACCTCTCTGGCTCCCCCCGCCAAGGCTCTGAGAATCCTTGTTGCACTTTACCCACATCATGCATCACTCTAGCCGAATTCTGCCCCTGCACACACTCTTGGCATGCACCCACCACTGGCTTTCTGACATGGATGGCCATTCATTCGTTCGCTCAGTTCTACGTGGCACGCCTTGTTTTGGGAACAGCCAAAGGGATTCCAGGGCTCATTTCTTTGTAAACGTTCTCTCTCTCTCTCTCTCTGCCTTTGCTACCTTATTCAGCACGAGGATTCACCTAGCGCTTCATGACTGAGCTCGGTCTCCGAGCTGGGTTCAGATGACTGTGCACTTTAGCTACTTGTGACCCAGGCCTGGAGAGTGGACATTTCACCTCTGTGAACGTGAAGCACTTTTTAATGGATCTGAGCATCAGCCACAGGAAAGAACTGAAAGTGACTCCTTTAATTGCTGACTTGGAGAAAGCGAAGCCCAGGGTTCATTATAATGTCCTCTTGTATTCCTATAGGTCCATATCATTTTATTAAGGCTTTTGCTCTGTTGCATGGCTGTAGCAGAATATTCAGTGATTGTCCACTCACTTCCCCTATAGGAATACAAGATGCACACAGGGAAGGAAGGCCCCTGATTGTCAAGACTTTGTCAGCTTAGTACACTGCACCTTCAAATTTGCTAGATGCTTTACCATTGAGAGCACTAAATACATATAGGTCATGAGTTCCAATTAATTCTTGCTTCCCATGGATCCATGGAAAGCAGAAACGTTGATCCCAGTTAAGTAACCTCCACATCCACCAGTTTAGATAGATACTTGTCTTTTGTTTTCATTTTCATTTTATAAACGAAAGCCTCCCCTCCCCCTGCACCCCGCCACCCCCCAGGACTTGCAGTAAAGGGGCTTCAGGACCCGTTCTAGTGTGATCTCACTCCTACCAGCAGAGGGCGCTCTACATGGCTCTTTCCCTTGTGTCACTTACAAGGTGAATTCCTAGTGCCTAGGCCAGTACTCTTGCCTGGAAAATTCCATGGACTGAGGAGCCTGGTAGGCTATAGTCCGTGGGGTCGCAAAGAGTCGAACACGACTGAGCGGCTTCACAGGCACAGACAGGCTGCGACCAAGGGCAAAGGAGCAGGCACGCTGGTGATACTTTTAGCCCCGGGGCACTGGGCTTAATAGTAAACGTGCATGATTCTTGTAGGGGCTAGAGACCCAAGAGGTAAACAGGGCAGAAACTGGATAAAACTGGGAGGCTGCAGCCGCTTAGGAGGGCTACGGGCTGACCCGACAGTGCAGTACGGGGCTGCCCTGGGGTCCGTGGAGGGCTGTCCTCTCCGCCTTCTCTTCCCTTCTGTGCTTCCAGTGACCCTGTTTGGAGGCAAGTGCTCCTTGGGGGAGGAGGGCCAGGATTGGAGCTTCCTGAACTCAGGCTGCCGGGGGCCTGGTAGTTTAGAGCTCATGCAAAAAAATCAGGGTTTAGCCTCGAGGGGAAAAAAACAAAACGAAACTTCTCCAGACTCTATTTCATTAAACTTCCTAAACCAAGAGAGAAAGACTAGAATTGGGCCATAGGAATCCATTGGACCTATAGGCTAAACAAGAAAAGCTCACTCCAGTTACAGGGCAGGCTTCCCTGGGTCTTTGCTTCTCTAAGGCAATTATGAATTAGTTCCCCTTCTCAGCTATAAAGAAAGTTTGGTTTCCTCTGGTGACCGCATTGTCTGTAACTCGAGCCCTGTTGATAGGCAATGTGTCAACAAACCCAGCCAAGCTTCTAGGGCTTCTCTTGGGATGCCTGTTTCGAAAGTGAATTTCACTCATCTGATTACCCAGTAAGTGATCACCAAAGGGCCGGGAACCTGGGAAGGCAAAAAAAAAAAAAAAAAAAAAAAAGTTTTTTCACAAGTGCATCTAAATTTGGGGGCGATTTTATGTATCTGCAGTAAGAATGTTTAGAACATAATTCTTTTGTTGTTTTTGTTTAAGAAGCACCTTATATAGTATAATATATATTTTTTTGAAATTGCAGTGCTTGTTTATCAGACAACTGAATGTAGTGATTCTGTTTTGGATTTAATTTGACTGGGTTAACATTCAAAGCCAACGAAAAATATGTTTACTTTTTTTGTATTACTACCTTGTCATGTAGTCATTGATGCCTGAGGCCTGGTGATTATTCATTTAAATGATGATCACATTTTCATATCAACTTTTATATCCACAGTAGACGAAATAGCACTAATCCAGATGCCTATTGTTGGATATTGAATGATAGACAATCATATGTAGCAGAGATTATACCTGAAAAGGAAAATTATTCAGGGCAGCTAATTTTGCTTTACCAAAATATAAGTAGTAATATTTTTGGACAGTAGCTAATGGGTCAGTGGGTTCTTTTTAATGTTTATACTTAGATTTTCTTTTAAAAAAATAAAAACAAACAAAAAAAATTCTAGGATTCTAGATGATGTAATACCAGCTAAATCCAAACAATAATCCAATGGAGGGTTTTACATTATTCACATAAGATGTTTGTATTCATGTAAAGACACTATTACATTTGAAATGGGCAGAGAATACCAGATGGTTGGTATGTTAGCCCGGGAGTTTCAAGTAATTTTAGAAATCTCTTATTCTTATATGAAGTGCCACTAATGGAGAGCTGATACTTTGCAGCTGATGTTACTTGGATGTAGGGAATATGCTGTATTTTTTCCCCCCTACTCTGATACAGTTTAAAGTTTGAAAGACATGGTCAATCAGAGTGGGAGTGGATGGGTTGGAATAGAGTGGGGAAATGGGTTTGGGCATTTTAAGAATGCAAAATATCATAATAAGAGTCTTGAAAGCATTTTGAGGCAGATCAGCACTGGCACTTGGGGCATGCACCAGGGTTCAGCATCTCACTTTTGTCCTGTTAGCCATGAATAACTAGCTGTATATGACAGCTGATCCTATAATGGCAACTTGAGTTCTGGGGCAGAACTAGAGGCATGCGCAGTACAGTCCAAGAAATTGCTAGCGGTCTGCGTTTCTTTTAGCCATTGCCTAGCTCCAGGCTTGCGGTAATGATTCCGTAACACTGTCACGCAACAATCAGAGAGGCTAGTTCATCCAAAGAGAAGACCCTACGTAGGTTGCAAAACCCAGCCCCTGAGGAAGTGTAGTCACTGATTCAATATCCCTACTAACCTTGCAACTATGTTTAACCATGCCATAGCCCATGCCTTTTGAGGGCTGAACAAATAAGGGACTAACTGATAATCCAACTTCTGATCCCATTAAGATGTCCTTGCATTAAAATCTTTATACACTGAAATGGCTGTTGGTTTAGGCCATTGGTTTAGACTACCCCTACATGAAACCTATCCCAAATCCCTTCCTAGTCACACTCCCCACCTCTGAGATGGACTGTGGGTACTGGGAGTGATCACTAGGACCTAGTTAACGTCTAATATTCACAGGCAGACTTGCTTCCAGAAACTAGTTATTAGAAACACACATAGAGTCATAACGTAGCTTCTGAGATAACCATGATTCTCTTGGGTTCAAGTCTTGGGATGATGAGCCAGATGACACTGCACACTTCCTGGGTGAACTCCCTGAAAACTTAACTGTCAACTGGAGCAAATGACTTTAAGTGCAGTCCCACACATCCACCTTTTCATTAGTGTTATTTCTCCATTTCTAACTGCCGTTCCTTTCCATTTGGATTAAAGTGAATGTGGCCTCCTTCTAAGTCACTGAAAATTGTTCTCTAAGTAACTGCTGCCTCTATTATGGCACTTCAAGTTTGCACTGTCTTTCAGAGATTCAAGAAAAATTTCTATTCTTTCTTTTTTTTTTTTTTTGCATCCAAATGTGCCTGAACTTTTAAAATGTGTAAATGCTGCCATGTTTCAAATCCATCTTCAGTGTGTTTTTGCAGAGCCGTGTACCCTGGAAACCACATACAGCCCCATGAACAGGTGCCTGCAGCACGGGACCCCTTTGCATTCACAGAGAGGTCATTGGTCATAGAGACTTGAATTAATAAGTGACATTATGCCAGTTTATGTTCTCTCACAGTTTATAAACAGCGCTTTTTGTGCACTACGTATTCTTCAGTGTAGAGCTCTTGTTTTTACGGGGAAAAGCTCAAATGCCAAATTGTGTTTGATGGATTACTACACCGATGCATACTATTATTGATGTGATTCTGTTTTGTTGCAGCTTCGCTTTGTTTAATGAAACACACTTGTAAACCTCTTTTGCACCTTAAAAAAAAATAATAATCCAGTGGGATGCTCAAGCACCTTAAACAATTTTCTCTACCTATTTGATGTTCAAATAAAGAATTAAATGAAAGCCTTTTGTTTCTTTGTTTTTGTGTGAGCCCCCTTCTTGCTGGTGGTTTAGCGCTGGCTGCCCAAGATCAGAGTGGTGGCATGCATCTTCAGAGTGCAGTGAATTCAGGTGAACAGTGGTGCCAGGCTACCCTCCAACCCCCACTGACCTCCCGCCCCAGGGAAGGGACCCTGTGGTCCCTGGAGTCAGGCAGACCTGGCCGCACTTCTTGGCTCCGGCCCATGCAAGTTTTATGACCATTGGTCATGAATTTTCAGAGCCTCTGCTTCCTCATCAGCAAGGTGATAACAGTAACACCTAATTCACAGACAATTGTGAAGATTATATGAGATGCTCATGGAAATAGTAGTTCTTTTCCTTTTTCTTTAACTATGTTGACAGATATACACCCATAGCTGATTAATGTCAATGTATGGCAAAACCCACTACAATATTGTAATTAGCCTCCAATTAAAATACATAAATTAATTTTTAAAACTAGTAGTTATTTTCTAATGCCTAATCCAAACCCCTTCCTTGTGGGGAAGTAGAAAGCTTCAGAATAGTTATGAGGGGGTTCCCAAGTGGCACTAGTGGTAAAGAACTTGCCTGCCACAGGTTTGATCCCTGGGTAGGGAAGATCCCCTGGAGGAGGAGATGGCAACCCATTCCAGTATTCTAGCCTGGAGAATCCCGTGGACAGAAGAGCCTGGTGGGCTACAATCCATGGGGCTACAGAGTTGGATGTGATTGAGCACTGCGTGAATGCATCTGAAACTTACATAATTGTTCAGAAACCTCGCCCCCATCATGCACCCAAAGCAGAAAGGACTAGTTCACCCCAAACCCATCCCACCTCTGGTTTCCATTTCTGTTTCTGTGATTTAACTGGTGAACTGGGGAGAGGGGGATAATGGGACTGAGAGGCAACATAATATGCACACGGGGTCTGCATCTGGATTAGTCCATTTGAAACCTTGTTCTACTACTTATGATGCGAACTTGGGCAAGGTAATTTCCCCGTGTCTCAGCTTCTTCACCTGTCAAGATGGATAATAGTACCACTTGCCTGGAAGTGTTGTTGAGACTACATGGGTTAATTCACGAAGAACACTGGAGGATGGCAGCTGGCATTGCTTCTTTCCCCTTTCCCGAATCTTCTCCAACTGCGTGTCTACACTCACTTCTTTATTAGAATGAGTTTAATTTTTCACCTTGTTTGTCATTTGGATTCCAAAAAGCTTATTTTGTGTGCTTGTTCTGTCATCCCTGGACAAGTTATTCAATCCTGATTTTCATTGGTTTCTGTATATTTAAAATATAAATAAGGACCATATGCATTCTACAGGGCTATTCAGTTCCGTTCATTTAGTTGTGTCCAACTCTTCTCTGAGATCCCATGGATTGTAGCATGCCAGGCTTCTCTGTCCAACGCCAACTCCCAGAGCTTGATCAAACTCATGTCCATCAAGTTGGTGATGCCATCCAACCATCTCATCTTCTGTCATCCCCTTCCCCTCCTGCCTTCAATCTTTCCCAGCATCAAGGTTTTTCTAATGAGTCAGTTCTTTGCATCAGGTGGCTGGAGTATTGGAGCTTCAGCTTCAACATCAGTCCTTGCAGTGAATCTTCAGGACAGGGCTATTAGAAGATGAAAAGAGATAAATGTCTCAAGTGTTGGTATAGGACCTGCCCATAGTAAGTTCTCAATATATGTTAGGCATAATTATGTAACTGTTATTATGCTCTATGAGCATTTACATTTAATGGGATCACTGATAGGTTTAGATTTACATTTACCACTTTGTTATTGTTTTGAATATGTCTCCTGTCTTTTTCACTCCTCTCTTCCTCCTTACTGGCCCTTCCTTTGTTTTAGTGAAATAAATATCTTTATGGTATCATTTATATTTATCTGTTGATTTTTTTGTTTTACTATTCTAAAGTTATTTTCTTAGTTGTTGCTTTTACAGCATGCATCGTAACTTTTCACAATCTATTTTAGATGAATACTAACTTAAATTTCATAAAATAAAAACCTTTGCTCCACCATACTGTAGCTCCATTCTCTCCCTTCTTCATATTATTATTGTCATATGTATCTAGATGTTATAAACCCAGTAATGTTATATTTATTGGCTTGTACAACTTTATATCTTTTAAAGAAGCTAAGACAAAAATGAGAAAATATATATATTTATAGGCTTTCTAATATTTATCCAAGGGCTTCCTGTGTAGCTCAGTTG